ATATGATTCCTTTATAGTTAAGAAACTGAGAGAAAAACCATTTCCTCTTCTATATTGAACTGTTTCTATTCTACTTTTTTCCCCCAAAACACAACTGTCTTTCTACCAAAAAGAAAACCACCTTTGTGATACAATTTCCATCCATTTCCTTGCCTCCCCAGCCGGCAGGAGGAAGCCAACCCCCTTTTCCTTCCCTTGAGAGCTGTGGTCTGTTTGTGCTGCAGGCAGCCGTGCTCCGAGCGCTTCTGTGTCCCCGCTGTCCCTCTGCGCCTCGCTCCTGCCTTGGGGGAGAAGTGATTTTGTTTGGTGTCCCCCCTCCCAACCCCACCCTGCCTGTCCCCCCACCTGCTTGGTGGCCCTCGGTACGCTCACGGTCTTTTGTTTATTGCAGAGAAACCCCATAACGAAACGTCTTTACGAAATCACACTGCCATGTACAGTGGTGAGTCAACGCTGGCTTCTGGAGACCCCTCCCTTGGTTTAACCCCCCCTCTGCCTAACCCCACTGATCTCTGGCACTAACCGGGCATCCTCTGCCCCTCGTCTGTGCCAACCCCCTCTGTGTGTGTGTGTCCCCGTTGACAGCCTCGACCTTGCAAATTAAAAAAAAAGGGGTGGGATGGAATCAGCCCAACGGTGACAAAATCCCCCCCGAAGTTTTCACAATTTCAGATGATGGAGCTTTAAGCTGATTAAGTGGATATGGCAGAGCCCAGCTCGAGAGGCTTTGGGGTTAATAGGATCTGGCCCACGGGGAGAAGTCGGCGTGGCTGAGCGTGCCCAGCTTGCTTCCTCACCCAAGAGGTGGCTTGTCCTCAGCACAGGCCCATGATTTAAGGAGGAGACCCACCACCCCTCTTCTCTCTGCCTTCAGAAAGAGCATTTCTTGTGTTTGCAGCTAAACTCAGGCAGTGACTGGGAAGGGAGAAAAAAAAAAGAGGAGTATTTAGGACTATTTGGTTTTCTCAAGAGCTGGGTGCTTCTTTTCTCTCTGGTGAGGTTGTACACATGTTGGATGCTTGTGTGGAGCTCTTGATGCTTTTGTGAAGCTCTTGATGCTTTTGTGAAGCTCTTGATGCTTTCATGGGGCTCTTGCCCTTTGTCTGGGCAGGGAGATTACCTCTGGAGCCTGTGTTTGCTGGGAGAAGCTCGTCCCAAACCCATAACTGATGCTTCAGACAGAAAACCACTCCCCAGGGCACGATCACTGCCCTGAGGATGGATGGGAAGTGTCATGGATATGAAGGGCTCCTGCAGGCAGAGCTGGCCAGCAGCAGGGCTCTGTGGGAGCAAGGAGATGGGGCTGTGTGGGGGTGATGCTGAGAGCACAGGCACCACCAGGGATGCCAACACCTCACCAGAGACCACCACAGAGCCCGACTGCCCCAGGGCCAGGTGCTGTCGTGGGCAGGGTTTGCTTTCTGCCCTTCTTGCTGCTTATGGAGAGCAGGTTGTGTGGCAGCAGGATGGGGCCACCCCCAGCCGTGCCCTGTGCTGCTCCCCAGCCGTGCCCTGCAGCAAAATCCCACTCAGCCTTTGTCCCATCCTCTTCCACCCGGAGCCACAGGTTTGTTTGTGCCCCGCACAATCCAGGGCACGTTTTCTTTTTCCACGGGGACTTCCAGGGACAAGGAGTGCTTTTGCCAGCTAAGAGCAGAGCGAGTTGGAGCGTGAGAAGAGGAGGATGTGCCAGGCGAGGGCACTGGAGTCGGTGTCCCCAGTAAGTGCCATCCTGTGCTGGCGGGCAGCCTGGGCAGCCCTTCCCCATCGAGGGAAGCACAGCGTTGGCATCTCACCGGCAGCCAGGAGTGGGAGGTTCCTGAGGGGGCTGGAGAGCTGGGGAAGGCTCAGCAGAGAGACCAGCCTCGCTGGTGGCAGCAAAGGGGTCGGTGTTCTTCTGAAAGGGTTTGTAGAAGTGGCTGTGAAAGGGGGTTGCTGGCAAAATGAGCTTCAGTGGGGGCTGCCTAAACTGCATCACCCCCCCGAGAGAGGCGAGTGGGGAGAGATCCCTCGGCCAGGGACCAAAGAGAAACCCAGTGGGGAGCTCTCCTGTAAATATAGATCTCATTTAGCAGTGTAATGATGTTTGCATTTCCCAGAGCTGGCAGCTCTTGCTGGTTCCAGAGGGAAAGTCACTGTGGTGGTCGTGGGCTCCCTGATATCCCACTGCACATCTTTCTTCAGGGAATAGGGATGCTTAACAGTCACTCAGTGTGGAGAAGGAGATTTTATCTGCACAGCCTCATAGATTTCTCCAGGTTTCTCTTCATAGGTGCAGAGGGTAAACTGCTGCTCTTTGCACGATATGGGCTATTGGTATTTAACATCCTCTGGAACAGTTTATGGGTCCGGTGGATTCAGAGCACCCACTTGCAGCCCTGTGCAAATCTGAGCTCCAACCTAGCAATTTCTTAAGGAACTGGTGAAAAATTCCTACCCTCAGCCCTTTTTCTTTTTGCTGACCCCCTGTTTCTCCCTGAAATGAGCTGTCTGGTCGTACTGGCCACTGGAATCTGCTGCAGTAAAGCAGGGAGCCCTAGGAGTGGGGAAGAGGACCACCACCTTCCCACATATTTCAGCTGTCTGGGGGAGACTTGGGGCTCTCAGACTGTGTATCTCGGGGTGCTGGTCCCTACAGTATGTGCTCAGCTCCAGAGTGAGCTGGCAGAGGGCTCTGAAGGCTGCGAGTCCCTTTCCCTGCTGGTCAATGAGGGGTGGCCCCGAGCTGCCGTGGGACCTGCTGGTGTGGACATGGGGCACGAGCAGTTTGTGGGACACTTGTCTCAAGCAGCACTCGAGGGCCAGGTGAAAGGCAGGAGATGCATCCCAGCCCTTCTCCCCACAGCTTGGAGAGGGTGCAATGAGCCCAACTGCCCAGGCAAACCATCTGCAGTGATGAAGGAAAAACCACCTAAAAGGATCAATTGAATATTTTATTAGCAGAGATTTCTCATCTCTTTTTAAAATGGAAAGCCCGTTTTGTCCTTTTTTCCCTTTTTTTTTTTTTTGTCTTTTGGCAAACCTGCAGGATGTTTTGAAGCTGTGCAGGAGGGGAACAGATGGGATGTGTCTGGACGTGCATGTTCCTATTATCGCCTTTCACCAGAAATGGTTGTGCAATTCTGGATTTGATTCTGGAGTTGATGTGCAGTTTTTAAATGCCATCAGGACTTTGGGGAGGGGGCAGTTGGCTGCTCTGGGGTGAGAAGTAGCTGTCTCTGGCATCCCCTGTTCACAACTGAACGGGTCCAGTTTCACCAAGGCTGGGACGACAGCAGCAATATATTGGAATTACAGCCTGTCTTTGAGCAGAAATAAATAGCCATGGGATTGGTTTTTGAGGTTCTGTTCCATCCAAACGGATGAGTGGGGTGTTGTTGGTTGTCTGAGAGTTCAGTGCTGGAGCAGTACCTCTGCCTGAAAGACTTTCTGTCCCCTCCCTATTAGAAATGCCAAAATATTTATTAGTAGTGCTGTGCGAAGGCAAAAAGCTCATCAGCTATGCAGCGTTGTTGCTGGTAGGTTTATTAAACAAGTGGATAGGGTACTAATTTCTCTCCCTTATTTTTAATTTTCATCATTAATATATGGCTGGTAAAATTTGGCTTGCACTGCTGCTTATCTCTTCTAGTTACGCCCCGGGCTCCTGAGCAAATGGGTTTGTTGTGGGAGTGAAGCGTACAGCCTGTTCAAACAGGCTGCAGACTGTTGGCTAATAAAAGCCAATACTGGCTTATAAAATAATATCCCACTCTCCTAATCACATGAGAAGAGAATTGTCCACGAGTCTGGCCCGAGGTGTGGGAGCTGTAGAGAAATATTGGCTTTAAACCCAGCCGCTGGCTCTGCCCCTCACAGAGCCCCAGCATGGGCTGGTTGGTTGACCCAGGAATTAGAAGCGGGCAAGAGACCAGTGGCATGTGCTTGCCCAGGGAACTGGCCCTTCAGGATAAGGTCAAGATTTGCCTGCCCTGGTAATCCATTAATCAAATAATTGACTAACCCGCTGGCGAGCACGGGCAGAGCGGTGACCCGCAGGGACCTGGGCATGGGGCTGTGCCCCAGCAGACCTGGAGCCCTTTCAAAGGCAAGGTTTAACTCCTGGGGTTGGGTTTTCTTCCCCTGTGAGCCTGGTCCCAGCCTCTTCCCGAGGCAGACTGATGGGACCTCCATGAACAGCCCCTGCCCTCTCCCCCATCCTTCTTCCCAGCCCTTTTCCCCTCCCAGAGCTCAGCTGGAGGCTTCCCAAATAGATGTGGGCACCCCCAAAAGCCCCGTGGTGCTGGGCACTCCTGGCTGCCTCCTACTTGCTGAGAGAACAAAACTTTTGGAGCAGCAGGAGAGGGCTTGATCTGCCCCCCAAGACCCTGCTCCAGCACCGGGGTGGGCTCTCCCCATGGCTCGCTCTGTGTTTTGCAGTGACCTGTGCCAACCCTGCCCCTATTCTGCCCCCTTTCCTAATCTCATAACCTCCATCTCTGCTACTGCTGCTTTCAAGCCCATCTCATCTTGTTTTGTCCTCAATGAGCTAGATGTAGTTTAATAATTCCACTTATTAATGGAATTTATTCCATTAATAGTTATTTTCTTTCCCCTACAACGAGACCTTCGCTGTGCGTATCTGTAGAGAGTTGTCTTGTGTCTTTCCCTGGTTTTCTCCTGTTCAACTTTCCTGTCCAATCCTGAGATCTGTCACTTTGGTTGCTAAGTTGTTCCTGTCCAAAGGACACTGTCCTTCCAGGCCCTGCAGCTCCTAGGAAGGGTGAGAAACCTCCTTGGTGCTGCTGGAGCCCCAGGCAGTGCTCGGAGCCTCCGTATTTTGGAGATCTCTGTGGCAAAGCAGCTTGATTGCCCAAGTAACCCCTCCCTGTGCCCATTTGTTCCTTTTGTCCTTCATTACATGTTCTGTCCATCAGTGTTTCCGAGTCTCATCTGATTTCAGCCCATTTCTCTGTGCTCGAGGCAGGGGTGGGCAGGAAAGGCTGGAGCTGATGGGGCAAGGAGTTTCCCAAGGCACCATCCCCACTGCTCAGCTCCCTCTGCCCATCCTCTGCTGCTTCTTCACCTCCCTGCCTGCCAAGCATCCTCTCTCTACCCTTTTTTTTTTTAACTTTAAAAATTACCTCCAGCCCTTCTCTACTTTCCAGGTACATTTCTGGGTGAGTTCAGTATCCCAGGCTTGGCCAGGAATTTGAGGTCTTCCCCCCCCAAACCACCGTGTATTTCTGGCCCTGTGTGTGCTGCGGCAAAGGAAGGTTTAAAAGCACTTTGTTTTGTTTGTTTGTTTGTTTGTTTTTCTCTCCTGCTGATTTCAGCCCGAGGGATTACGGAAACAACTCCCAGCTTCATGTATCCCTACGGGACCTCGAGCAGTCAGATGGTGCTCCGAGGGGTGGACCTCTTGCTGGAGTGCATTGCTTCAGGAGTGTACGTACCGCTTCCCGGGCAGCCAGAGGGGCAGAGGGTGGTCCCAGCCACCCCCCGAGATGCTGAACCAGCAGTGGGAACACCTCTGGCTGGGGAAAGGGATTGTTCCCTTCCTTTTCACTCTCATAACCTGCTTAAAGAGTAAGAGCGTGGAGCAAACAGGAGAGCTGAGCTTTGCAGCACTGTTCTGAGAAGCAAATGTCTTCAGCTACTTGCTGCCCAAGGATAACTCCCCACTGCTCTGTCCTTGTAGCTATTTGCCAGCCTCCTGGGTGCTCCTCATCACCCTGTGTAAACTACAGGGGAGGATGTTTGTGATCCCTGTGCCTGCAGGAATATCCTGGGCTGGGGCTGGGGGTCAGACTTCAGCATCGGTCCTGAGGTGTGCTGCCTGGTGCTACCTGCTCATGCTGCCAGACCAGTCTCTGCATCCCCAAGCATGAGGTGTGAGATGGACCCTAGTGACACTCGGGGTCCTAGTTTAGGGGCTGTGGTAGGAAGGAGGGTAGCCCAGCAGCAGGATAAGTCCTTCTCCCTTGGTGTGAGTGGTTCCGAGTGTAGGATCAACTCTTTTCTTAGGAGTCATTTTCTTGTCTTGCAAAAGCATTTATCTCCTCCCCTCTCCTTAGACCAGCACCAGACATCATGTGGTACAAGAAAGGAGGAGAGCTCCCAGCAGGCAAAACCAAGCTGGAGAACTTTAACAAGGCTCTTCGTATCTCCAACGTCTCCGAGGAAGACTCCGGGGAGTATTTCTGCTTGGCGTCGAACAAGATGGGCAGCATCCGCCACACGATCTCGGTGAGAGTGAAGGGTACGTCACCTTTACCTTGCCATCTTCTCTACCTTCACAACCAGAAGCTGGGAGGGGGGATGCTCCAAACTGTGAAAGGGGCAACAGGGGCTGCCTCTGGGCTGAATCCAGCCATACTGCTTCTGACCTAAAAGCAGCGTGAGGTGTGATCTAGGCTTGGTGTAACTCAGCAGAGCTTCACGGATGGAAATGGTTGTGGTCTTGTGTGGCCAAAGAGGCTGAGGGAGAGGACTGTCCACCCCCACCACACCCAGCGAAGCTCACTTGAA